GGCCCTAAAGATGTGATGTTGCAGGGTGTTGGTGAGCGTCGACGCAGATTTTTTTTTTATCCATGTGTTTGTTCGTTTTGACACGTCTAGCCTTTGTCGTAGTTCTGAACGCTGTAATCTATTTCATAAATAAATTCAATTCATACCTGGATCTTTACGTCCTCTAGTTTTAATTAAAATACTAGAATTTTATTTGAGATCGGTTTTTTTACTATAGGATTTACATCTATGAATAGATAATCATTTCCTAGAGGCTTCAGACGGCGTGATTTTCTCAGTGATTATAATGAATATAGGCCTATATGGAAGCATAAACGAATGCGATTTTCATATATACGTGTATACACCAGTTTCAGGTTGCATGCTGGACATGAACGTATTTTAAAAAAATATCGCAGAGAAAATCGTTTTCCTTTGTAAAATCTTCTCAAGCATTTTCAACGCTTACATCGACCATGTACATTGTAAACATTGAATCATCGGCACATATATTGCGTAAACATTTGTTGTAGTAAATTGTTTTATGCGTCGTATTTGGTAAAAAAAAATAGAAACTCAACACACTTCTTCTGAAAAGAAAAGAAAGGTTTCTTTTTGCAAGTTTTCACAAATCTATTAAAAAATACGCTTGTAAGAATGACAGACGAAATTAAGAGAGGTTAACTCTGACAATCGAGGAACTGTGGAGGTACCAGGTATACCAGAGAAAGAAAATTATTTTGAGCATAACGTTATACATTTTTAAAAAAATCAACTCATCATGCTCACGGAAATATATTTGAAAAATTAATTTAATTTTTGAAAATTCACGAGGACATGAACAAAGACGCTTCACCTCAGCATATTTCTTGAACCGCGTGATCATGAAGCGCAAATTTATAAATGTCATTCAACCATTATTTTGGAAACAAAACAGTTTGCACTAGGCCTATAGTTTTGACGTCAAGTGTGGCATTATGACGTCACAATGGAGATATGTAGGCTTACCTAGTTCATGAGAAAATGAACTGTTTTCTAACTTGCAATGAATGTGTAGGAAAAATATTTGCAAATGTAAATATTACATAGCAAATCAATAAAATTTGTCAAATAAGATAATAGCTAGGATTTATTTTATATACGGTATATGTCACAGCCGTAATTTATTTGTTACTCCTTTTTAATAATAACAATGAAAACAGCTGTTGGGTTCGATTTATATATTTTTCAATTTCATGGTAAGACTAAAAAGGTGACCTGTAACAATAAAAGTAATGAAACTAAATGAATACACTCTCATACCTATACATTCACACATTAAATTACTTTAATATATTTTAGCTTTTCTGTTCTAATTATCTTCAAGTGGATAATTACTTTATAATATATTTAATTTATCTAGAGCAACGGTGGTAAAATTTCTTACCGAATAGACAGTTGATTTGTCCACATTATAAAATGATAGACTTAGTGGAGTAGGAGAGGAATTCTTCCTTACTCCTGGCTGTCCTAGGGTGGAGTGAATTAGTTGGGGTATTTGGCGCCAAGCATGCGCACCTAATACCAAACTAGTAAAACCACTCACACACTTCTCACTCTAAAATATCAACCAATCATACAACTCCAAGCCTCACCCATTCTGACACAAACACCTTTGACCTTTCACACTCCTAAATCCACCAATGAGCATTCAACCCCATGAATATGAATGAGATATTTTATGAATGAACACATAGTAAATTCCAGAGGACTGTAACTTACTATGATTTATAGATGAAAATGATGATGAAGATAATGAAATGATGATTAGTGATTAGGTCATTAAATATTCAATCATACATATAATATTTATTAGAATAATAATTTATTCACCCTGTGACAGTATAGATTGCAGATACAAGTTTTCTGAAATAATCTACTCATTCAATGTGTTCAAATGACTACCCCCCCCCCTCCCTTTCCGATTCCACGTCACAGTGCAGCGACCTCAATGAGTGTTCAGAGCATGAACAATTTGGCCCTTGGACCATTGTGCACTGGTTTAGAATGTATATATTTATATTGAAATAATAACAGAATGAATATTTTGGAGATGGAAAAATAAAAAAAATGTGCATATTGTTGTTTTTGTGTACATGATACTTATATCATTCTGCTATCATTCTGCTCTACGTATAAAATGAGCAACCACTACAAGATTTTCAGAAAAAAAATATTTAATTAATCTGTACGTATTGTTTTTTTTTTTTTTTTTTTTTTTTTTTTTTTTTAATAATCTTTCAATTAACAGATTATGCATATTAAAGGTTCAGCAACAAACCATCAGATTAAAATTTATGAAGTTTTTAAATATTTTAGGAAGGGGGGGTATTGAAATGCATGTAGCTTAAAAAAGAATGTGATGACCCCACTTCATATTTTAACCGTAAGTCACTTATAATATTTGTTACGAAATATATCAATTTTAGGAAAATTCATTGGGCAATTTTTTGCCAAGACGTTGAAAACTGCTCTTGGGGGTGAAAATATTACTGCAAATTTACAATGACTACTCCCCAAAGCAACTGTGGCATTACTATATCTATCAATAGTTTCCGATACAATTTTTATTTTCAATGAATATATAGCATATTATTTAACATCTGGTGAAAATTATTTAATTTGTTTCAATTTTGATACCTGTATGGCATACTTAAAATTTCACTACATAAATATCAAAATATTGAAATACGGTGGTTACCATTGCAACCATATCTTCTTTATAACCCTGATGACCATGGTTGACATTTTCATATTATGATACCATTAACGTAAGGCAAATTATATGTAAAAATGAGAAAAATTCATAGAGCGGATTTTTTTCATGGACCCTTGCAATCTCTTCCTTAATATCTACCTCAGAGTACTTGTGTGTACAATCAGAATGTTTGTTAACAAAATAATTTAGCAAATAACCAATGAAAAAAATAAGTAAATTTACGGGTTCCACTTTTATTGAAAAGCAGCTTTCTATGAGGCCAAAAAGCATGGACTATAATCTATTGTGGGGAATGGTTGTATAAAGTTTTGAAAAGTCGTACGTTTTGACGTTATTGATTTTGGTAAAATTTTATTTCAAATTTTCTAAAAGTTCCTTGGAGTTTTTAAGTATCCACATCTGATTGACACCTCTTCTTGAATATATTGTTGTACTGTAATCCTAAAGTTTCTCCTTCCATGCTGTTAATATTTTAGCGAGGAGTCAAGAAAGAGGCTTGGTAGAAAGTTTACTGGAACCCTCTACGTATCTTTGTAGGGATTTTTATCAAGTGTAGGAATGCAGTATAGGTATGGTAATTCAAATACATTTTGATTGTTGGGAATACTAAAATGTTTAAAACTGAAATGTGATTTTGAAGAATTTCCTCCTTAGAAAGGGTACTATGTGTATTAGTTGGATTACCACTTGTAGAATTAAATCACATTTCCTCTAAAATACAATTAAAATGATTATAAGCCTTACAAACAAAGACAATGTTGTTATACTTTCTTTGACAGCGGGAACCAGTACATACTGATCGTATAATCTATTTAATTCTTTTTCCACTTCTGAATTACTGAAGACAGAGGGATAGATTGTTTTCATATTGCTCCTCAGTCGCTTATTGCGAGATTTCAACATCCATTTGATAGTTTTAATCCTTTTTGACAAAGTGTCGATTCAAGGTCTTCTTTTTCATAGGGGCTTGTCTTTCTGATTGTTAAATATAAAATAAATTGATAAAATTTTGAATCGACTTTCAATACACTTAAAAAGTTGTTACAATAAAGATTCTGACACTTTCAGACAAGAAACACTATCTTAAAAAAACGTACCACACCTATACACATAAACCATACAAGGGACGAAAGCTGTCATGTTGGAAAAATACCACACCCAATTCAGCACCTATTTTTGGATTCTAAAGCATTAATTTATTTCTTTTTTATGGTTTTATCCCCTATAGTGATGATTTTCCTAAATGTTGATGTGTCTGTCAGTCATCACCACGCGTTCAATCAATAGAAAACGGACACAACTTCTTCGATTTGGAGGCTCATCTCTCCAAATCGACTTAGAAAGAATGTTTAACTCCGGACACGACATCAGTCCGGACTTTTGCTAACCACTTTTTTGAAGATACGTGTAAACCATGTATGTCATCTGGTGGGATTTTTTTTTAATCTTTAGACATGGACCAAAGTTTACACCTGATTATCTTCTAGGTAAAAAGATATTATACCTGCAATCATGAAATCCCATAGGATAATGGTGGGATTTCTTCTCGTAACCAATACCTCATCAATATCCTATGGAAGAAAATGTATCCTATGGGATTTTTCCCATACTTACTACTTACTTATGCCTGCTACCCCTTTTGGGGCATAGGCCGCTAACAAGATTCCTCCAGGCCCCTCTATCCTGAGCAATGCTTTCTACCTCCTTCCATGCAGTTCTTGTCCATTCTTTTAACGTCTGCCTCCAGATTTTTTCCCATAGAAGCTAAAAAATCCCATTAATTATTCAGAATGGGGATAAATCTCCCATATACTCAATACAGTAGATAATCTCCCATATTTTTTTAATGTGAAATTTATCCCTTATTCATAAAAAATGGGCAAATTTTGTCCATGGGATTAAGAAACAACACTTTTACACTGAATAAAGATTTTACTGGTATTTTTTTTTTTTTAGGTTATTTAGTTTTGTGGTTCCTCTACAATTCAGGACTGATGTTGTCCGGAGTTAAATGTTGCACTATGCTTTCAACAAATAACAACATTTACAAACAACTTTATTATTTTTTTACATACAATACAAAAGCATCTGTTACAGAACGGCTTGTGGACAATTATGCATTACTATATAAACACTGCAGTATACATCAATTTTCGCACTATATATATGGATAGAGTTTTGGTATACACTGTACCAATAATTACCCATATGCCACTAATGATAACATGTGCTGTTGAAGGAAGGATTGTAGATATAAATCATTAACCCCCCACCCCTAAAAAAAGATTGACCGTCTTCACCTTTGCTCCCCTTTTTACTTTCAGACTACATATTCCATTTCTTATGCGTAAAAATCTTCGTATTAAACGTACATTTTACACGTGAATACTTCTTAATGCAACACAAGTACAAAATGCGACTAATATCACAGAAGACAAGAAGTCTGTGAGCGGTGAGTTATTGGAAACTTGTGACGGTTTAGATTTGGACGGATTGAAAGGAATAAGTTCATACGATGCCAGAGACAGAATGTCATTGAGGAATGAACTGTTTTTACGAACAAACACGGGAGGTAATCCAACAGGCGCATTCACAGTTACTGCCCCTGGATTCACATCCGTTTTATTCCATAAATAAATCCACTTATCGTTTGGAAGATAAACATTTTGTTTTTGAACATTAGGTTGAATCACTGGAGCCACTAAGATGTCTGAACCGAACATATATTGATATTTCAGATCATATGTTTTCACATCATCCGGGTACATTAGAAATAAGGGTCTTTGGACGGCTACACCGGAACTGACGTACTCATCCATGGCGGCAGATGTGTAGTTAGACAGGGCCTTATGCATGTCAACAAGGCGTTTAAACTGGCGGAGAATTATATCCGAACTATACATCTGAACGTTGTACGCTGGCTGGTTTCCTGACAACAAATTAAAAATTCATGTATAGCAAAGTTTCGTCCAAATTTCAATAATAAAGTGAAATATTAAGATAACGAACGGCAATCAAGCTCAAAAGTCCATTGAAACACTACATATTTGGAGCAGAGGAAACACGGACTTCTAAAAATTCAGAGGTTGGATGAGGTGCCATGGAGGAGTAAGCATTCCCTGCCGACCGGTCACACCCGCCGTGTACTACTTGTCATGATTTGGCAAACGAAACAGACAATTCAGTGTTTAAATATCGGCCTAACAATTTGTATGCAAAATCAGTAAGCATTCGACTTAATGATAGATTGTATTTGCTGACAAGGTCATTGTATCGACTATAGAATTTGCGAAATATTAACCTTAAACAAAACTGTTGATATTTTTGTTTTATCAACTTGTCAATTGATTGCCTCGTTTTAGAAATTGTTCCTACGTAGATTATGCTCTTGCGTATCGAATCATCTGAGAGATATATATAAACTCCATATGCAGGTGACAATGGTTTATTATTAAATAAGGGAAAAGTTGGTTATCACGTTTATCATAAAATTTTGTTGTAAGGTTACCATTAACATCTTTTTCTAGTAAAATATCCAAATATGAAACAGATGTGACAGAATCTGATATATCTTTTAAGGGAAGTTGACGATTAAGAAGTTGAAGTCATCACGTTTTCATAAAGTTTTGTTGTTAGGTTACCATTAACGTCTTTTTCTGGTAAAATTACTAAATATGAAACAGATGTGTTAGACTCTGTGGTATCTTTTATTTCGAGTTCAAAGGGATATACCGAATCAACATAAGAATGAAAATTAATAATTTTATTGTAAATTGATAAAACTTCGGAGACATATCTAAATTTTGAACTGAAGGCCACAGTAAGAGACCTTCTTTTCATGTAGAAGTTTCTTAATAAATTCTGCCTCATATGAATACAAAAATAGGTCTGCTAATAAGGGCGCAATTAGTACCTTTAGGAATTCCTACAGATTGATTTTGTTATTGGAATGATTCATTACACAACTCTATATAATAGCTCTTTACTTTCTATTTAATTCATCATGTTAAAATATCTGCATGATACAAAGTGTAAGTTTCAAAAAATACGTTAGTTAAATGTTATTTAATCACGATGCCATAAATATAGTCATACTACTAGAAGATTGTCTGCAAGAATGTCCCACAACAACAGATTCAAAACAGAAAGATGCTACACTTAAATATATAAATACCTTCGTGTGTCCTCATCACAGGGGAGAAGACGGCCATCTCTGCAGACCTTAGAAGCAGCTCTGCAGATCGCCTTAACCCCAACGCTCCAAACGTGGTATACAGACCAATGTCCATGTGAGTCATACCAATGCCACACAACCCAGAGGACAAAGCAGAGGGAATAACAGACGGAAGGCCGTCTCCTGTGCTCCAGTCAACGTTTTGGTCCCCAACCCACATTAGAGTAGTGTAGTTAGAAGTACCTTGATAATAACAGTTATAATAGAGTAAACTTGATACATTATCCAAAATACAAATTAACTATTGCAGAAGGAATTAATTGAATGCTACTTGATTATGGTGATCATGGTTATGTTCTTATGGTCAGCATGAAAATTATCATTTCAATATTTCCGTTTACCAGTATGACCAGCCCTCATCCAGAATACCACATCTTCTTCTTTTCCAGATTCTTGGACCGCTTCACGGTTTAACTTGGCCCAAAGAACAGGCCACTGGTTGTGGAATAATTCACCCGACCCTCCCTTTAATTTTGCATCGACAGGAAGATATTCTCCAAAGTCTGCCATCCATCCGCCAATCCCGAGCTGTATTATGTTTTTCTTGATAATACCTAACAGGGCAAATGGAATTGCAATCTCAATTTATCATGTGATATGTGAATTGACAGTATAAAATTAGAAATAATCCATGTGTATTTACAAAGCTGTTTGTATGGTTTCACATCTATTCATGCTTATTTAAAACATATATCATTTAAAATTTACTAATTAAAACGCATTAGTAAAGTTTAACTAATAATTGCACAAGAAGCATATGTCATGAAAGTTAAGTTCAATTTTTTTCAGAGACATCCTTACCTTTATACCAGTTGTATGCGTCAGGATTAGTTAAATCCACAATCCCACAGAAAAATTCTCCAAAATTGAACAAATATGTCTGGTCGGTCTTATTCTTCACAAGGTAACCATTGCTCTCCGCTGCCTTGAAAAGTGGGCCTTGGTTGTTAAGATTGGGATTCATGTAAACTGTTATTCGTACGCCGTCTTTTTTCAGTTCTTTGATCGTTTCGTCCAAACCTATAATTTCAACATAGTTTTTAACCTCTAGCTAAGAACTTGCCATTATTTCTTTGTCATACCATTCACTTAGTAAAACATACTAATCAACACATGTACTGGCACGTGGAATTGGCACATGCAATGGTGTAAAGCGTTCTGATTTTTTGGGAATACGCGATCAAGTGAATGTGAAAGTAATGATACTTAAATTTACTATTAAAAGTAACTGATCATCAAATATTTTGATCAGTGTAGAAGGTACCTCCTTAAATCTCTAATGAAGAGTCATTATCTATACATATCGGCCGAAAGTGTGAAATTTACCCGGTTAAATTCGATTGTTCCTCAGCTGAAGCTTCATTATGTTGTGTGTTATTGATGTAAGTTTGATTACCTGGATATCTTGTGGCGTTCCATTGCCAGTTCCAGAATACTCTTTGACCGAACGACGTGTTGATAATTCCAGACCAGTCTTGAATCCATAGACCACGGACATTCACTCCTTGAGCTTTTGCTTGCTGGTACCTTTCCATCATCTGTCAAAAAGGACAGTAAAAAAACAATCCTCAAACAGTTCCTTCATGTTCTTCCTTAAATGACGATTTTGAAACGTTCTAAAGAGAAAATAAATTGTACAGTACGAGAGAAGTCATTTGGCTTTTCAGGGATGAATTAAGTTCATAAAAACTTGCAATTTTTGTTCCTCCTTGTACGCCCATTATAATTCCATCATAAATCCAAAGGGGTAATTTTGGCATTCGTCCAAATACTGATGAAAGACTTCCAACCAAAGGTTTAAAAGAGGATGCAGATTTGAAGTAAATGTCACCAAAGTCTCCATTGATAAAGACTTCATGAGAAGTGGGGACACTGAAGTCGAACACTATGTATCTGGTAGAAGTGAAGTGAAAGTAATATTTCTTGGAGGTTATAAAGGTGGGCTGAGGAAAGTAAGTGGTGGCAAAGTTTCCCCCACCGCCGGACTGGAGGTCAGCGAAGAAGGTTGTGTTAGTGCTTTTGTCTCTTCCTACACCTGATGATATAGAACAGGAAAAATTAATATTCTGGGAAGATAGCTTTTGCATAACAAAAACTTAATAAGATATCTATATTAAATTTTCACATTAATCATAAATTGTTACATTCATTGAACATACGTGCACGTGTAAAGATTATATATCCTTGCTCAAAGATATAGCTATTCTTGTTTTTATACGTACAATGTTTTGCATTTTTGTTATTATACTTTTTAAAACACTTCATTTGTAATAGATAAGTAATCTTCAATAATTTTATATTTACGTGATAATTTTGTTTACTAAATCATTTATATTTACACCAAAATTGATTACAGTGTAAGATATGAAATATGCATCTATCATATATGATTATACTTGTAAAATCGTTGCATCTTTTGACTGATAATTTCATATAGCCTAAAATACATAAGTTCATTATGACACACTTATTGATTGGACAGTGGTTTATCTTAGATGGGAATTTCAGTTCAGTGTTTGATCCGTAAACCGAGATCGTGTTAACTCGAACTTATGAAGTTAAGTACACAGTTGTGTTTGTACTTAGAGATAAGTTATTTAGCTGCTGATTTGTAGTTAATCAATCTGTTTTTATCTCGTACAACTCCCACAATATTATTGTCAATTAGGACATCAGAATTAACTTGTATCAACGGAAAATAAATACTGTAATAGGTTAATCTGAGTAACATAAATTAAACGAGTAAGCATATCTATATTATATTATAATAAGAAATACAGATTTGGACTATAATGAAAATATTTTCAAGTTTCTTTATTCAATGAGCGAGTTAATTTAACAGACTGTTTGCATTTTTTTTCCCGATTTTTTTCTTTTTTTTTTTAGTTGCATGTTCTTAACTTTGTGTATATTTCGACAGAATAAAATATTTGACGAACAATGTGTTTTTCTTATTTTCGAAAGATTTGGCAAATATGGTAATGATAAAATTTAAAACCTCAAACAATTGTGCTTTTTTCTTCTTTTAAAATTTTTTGGCAATTCTGATAATTACAAAATTTAAAATCACAAACCTCCTATGGAACAATATAGTTAATTAACACTTTAAACTTGACATACTTTAAAAACATTTATTCCAAATACATATTCATTTAACATGTTTAAATATTTCAAATATATCAGATTAGTTTTTCTTGTTTTTCCATAATCAAAATTATACCCACCCCAACTCCCGAATTGTGGGCGGGTTAATGGGTGAAAAGCCACCTTATTTAAATGAAAATACTTTTCATCAATATACCTTGCTCTCTTGTCCATATTGGGTATGTCAGGTCATCCGATCTGAGTACTGTGAACAACTCTAGGGAGTTGTACGTCCTTTCTCTAAGATTAAGGTGAGTAAACTGCTCCCCTCCCCCATAAATTTTGTCAGTCGGAGAAGCTGCTAGTACGACCCAACTGTGTGTGTAAGTCTGTCCAGTGTTTTTGAACGATACAACCACATCCTGGTTAAGCTTGGTTTCGAACGTCACTTGAACCTGAATTGAAGTATATAGAGTTTAGTACAACGGAACCACAATTTTTACTAAATCTTTTCTTCAAAGAACTTTTACCAGAGATTTTGGTTGAATTTATTGCATTCATAATGATATAGCTACAATGGTTAATTTAATATAATGTAGACATATAGCAATGTTGATTATGCATTTATCATCAGTTAGCAAGATTTGATAATGGTACAAGTGAAAGAGTATATATAATTAATGTTACAGAATAGATCCCTCCATCCGTGAAGTTGTAGACGTCGGAGGTGGTAGTGTTTTGTATTTTGGAGAATCTCCTGAGAGCTATTCTTTCCTTTATATAGTTTCTGACATGGAAATTTCCTAGAGCTTCCAGAAATATAGTCTTTCCTTGTCCAACGTAAAACGAAGGAGATAACAATGTATGGTTCAAAACCTGGAAAGGAGAAATTAACACGTTATGGTGTATCAAAACTATATGTACTATTAACTATAAAATAAAACCAATGCTGTTGCAAACATGAACAATTAAGTTGCGAACATTTTTTCCGATATTTTTGACTGACATACTAATGTGATAGCACACGCTCTGAAAGACCAAAAAAAAAAAAAATTTTTCTGACTTTTCTATACAGGGGTCCACTGTATATACAATTGCTGGAGCAAGTAAACTGCTTATAACTGGCATACTTAACCAGGGGTGGTGCATGAAAGTTTCTTTTCCTTGCTTTGCTTTCATATTTAACTACCAAAAAATTAAAACATTCTCTCTGGTGACCTTTGAATTTTAGAAAATAGAAAATGAAGTTTTACTGTGTTTTTATCGCATTGCCAAAATTGGTCAAATAGTGCATTTTCTTTCACCAGTTACAAATCATACACTGTATGATAACATTATCACTACACACATTTATTTACACTAGGTTATATACGATCAAATCAGATTTCCTTAACCTTGAGACACATTCACAATTACAAGTTCACCTATATTTAAAACTGATTGCCTTGTCCGTCCAGGTAAAAGTTTGTTTTGCTCTCCAAATCACTTGATGTTAAATTGTTAGGTAGAAGGAATCGCCCAGGATATTTCGATTTCTATAATTTTTCTTATCCCTATAAGATTGTTTCCCCAGTACCGCTATAATTGACTATTACTTTTAAAGATGAGCATATCTTTACTATTGAAATGGGTCTCAAAGTAAAGTCTCAAAGTATCAAATATCAAAGAAAATTCTGAAGTATTTAAGTAAAATAAGCATATACAACTACCTTAACAATCTATACTTAAATTTAGTGAATTATTGTTGACTATAGTAATTTATGCTATGTTACAAATGCACTTTACGCAAAATTATGTTTGTTGAAGTCGAGTTAAACAAGTTGCAGTATTGCTTGAAAATTGCCGCAAATTTTAAATTAAGTCAATAATATTAAGGATTTGCAAAAACGCACATTGCTTCCTTCACGATGTACATTTATTCACTAATATTCTCCTACCGTGATTCTGTTGATTTGGATCTGCAGTGATCCTCCGCTGTCCGTAATTATGTACTGCTTTGCAGCAGACGACACCGACGTCACATACAGAAGGCTACATAATAGAACCCCAAGATCTGAAAAAGACCACTACCCAATAAGTCATACTCATAATTATATCAAATATTGTTGAACATTGACAAGACTTCAAAAGGAAATAAGGAGGTGGGCCCCTGAAGAAAACATATTAGTATTACATGAAATATATACAATGAAAGGATAGATTTAGATAGCAATCGCCTTTTTCCATACATTATGTTAAAAATGTTTTACTTACCCAAACGACGGGCCATGATTAGTCACCGGTTTGTCAATGGACCAATGTGTGTCTCCTGTTATCCAGCGTTATCAATCACATAGTCAAGGCTCCAATATTTACTTTCTTTGATTATTTTTGTTCTTTATCGTCGTTTAGATACAGAAATAACGTAAAGTGTTTTATTTATTCATTAATGGATTTGATTTGGAGAAATATTTAAGCTTTAATTTAAAAAAGGACATACACATGTACACTTGAAAGACTGTCTATAGGTGACCTTGTTCACTTTACTACTATTTCTTAACTTTACCTGTGCAACATATTATTAGAAGGCTTGAAACTAACATTCAAACTAACATTCATAGAAAGTTTTGTATTTATTGAATAAAATAATTTTGTTATGATATGTGTATAGTCCACACAGTTTGTCTTTCAAATCAAATGTTGTAGATGTAAGAGATATGTATATATATATATATATATATATATATATATATATATATATATATATATATATATATATATATATATATATATATATATATATATATATATATATATATATATATATATATATATACCTTATAACTGAAGAAATAACCATGGGAAATAAATAAACTTATATACACATTGAAGAAAGAAACCAGTGAACTTTTCTGTGTTCTGACATATGGCAAAGTACGAAAGACTTATGTTTGGAAAGGCAGAAGAAAAGTCGTATGTTAGCCGGACTTGGTGATAGCAGTATACTCAGTGCTAACTCATTTAAAATATAACTGTACACATATTTTGTTTGCACAGAACAAGAGAGATGGTGTAATCGTAATCAGTAATTATAATCAGCTCTAATCAATTACATTTTCCCGTGTAATCACGAGTATTAAGTATTCCTTTGTGTTTTTAGTAGAATTAATTCTAATTTTATCAAGTATTTTAAAAATTATGTAATCATGATAACTTTTCGATTACATTTCTTATCATTACAATGGTAAAAGAAATACAAAACCTATTTTCAATGAATAAATATATGCTTAAAGCCATATTTTCTTTCGTATTACATAGTAAAGTATGTCTACTTTTATAAAATAAATATAGCACTAAATTTACAGGTGTAGCTCTTAATTAATTTTAATTTAGTTGAATGAATATGGTGTATGTACCAATTTAGGTTGAACTTCATAAACATTGAAGAAGTAATACATTGCTATAACTTTTACCTTTATGAATAAAGTTTTATTTCGATGTACCTTACTGATGTGTAACAAGTATGAATCACAATTTAGTTTTATATGTACTTACATAATAAGCTTTGGATTATCCTTGGGCCATAACATTACTGAACTTTCAAGTCTGTCCAGTCAAGCAAAGTAATAATTGTGGTAAAAAATCTATCAATTTGTAGTTTAAAATGTTTATCAAAAAGGTATGTCAACATAATCAATTTCATGCATGGCATTGCATAACAATTTTGTGAATCTTTATAAAACTAATTTACTAAATTGTTAAATTTTTGTTTCTTTTATTTATATGAAACAGGGTGATATATGAAGATAACGAATAGTAATCAAGCTCAAAGGTCCATTGAAACAATACAAATTTGGAGCAGAGCAAAACACAGACCTCTACAAGCATCAGAAGTGGGATCAGGTGCCATGGAGGAGTAAGTATCTTCTATGGATTGGTCATGCCCGTCGTGTACCCCTTGTTATATGATTTGGCAATCGGAAAAAAATCCGTAGACAACTCAGTGTGAAAATATTTGCCTAACAATTTCTCTGATAAACATCAGTCAACATTCGACTTAATATTAGATTGTATTTGCTGACAAGGCCATTGTGTCGACCAAAGGATTTGCGAAATGTCGACTTTAAATGAGACTGTTGATATTCTTCTTTCATCCACTTATTAGTCAATAGCTTGCCTCGTTTTAGAAATTGTCGATCGTACGTAGAGCATGCTCTTGCATATCAAATCAACTGGGAGACATCAACTCCGCATACATGTGATAATGGTATATTGCTACAAAATAAAGGAATTTGACGATAGGAAAGTTGAAGTCACGTTTATCATAAAGTTTTGTTGTTCGGTTACCATTTGCGTCTTTTTCTAGTAAAATATCCAAATATGAAACAGATGTGTCAGACTATGTGGTATTTTTTTATTTCTAAATCAAAGGGATCTATCGAATCAAAGAAGGAATGCAAAGGATAGTTATTAATTAATAAAACCTCGTCGATATATCTAAATGTTGGATCGAAGGCCACATCGAGAGACTTTTTCTTTTCATTAAGAAGTTTAAAAAATTCTGCTTCATAGGACTACAAAAAAAAAATATCTGCCAATAATAGGTCGCAATAAGTACACCTGGGAATTCCAACAGATTGTTGGAAGATTTGATCTCCGAAAACTACATAGATATTGTCAATAAGGAACTCAAAGAATCTGTTTTAAATTTCTATTTCGGATTATTTGTGTGTACAATCAAAATTCTTTTAACAAAATAATTTTGCAAATAACAAACGACAAGGTAAGTAAATTAACGAGTTCCATTTTTATTGAAAAAACGGAACAGCTTTCTGTGAGTTTTTTAGTATCCACATCTGATCTATATCACTTCTCGAATATTGTTGTACAGTACTCCTGAAGTTTCTCCTTCACAGCTGTTAATATTTATTACTAACATCTTTTATTGAGGAGTAAAGAAAGAAGCTTAGTAGAACTTGACAAAAACCACTTCATAAGTATAAGTATGTTAATGTAAAATCGATTTGATTGTTGGGAATATTGAAATTATTTAAAACTGACTTATGATTTTGAAGAATTTCCTCCTTGGAAAGGGAATTATGAATATAAAATGGATAACATGATTAGATAAAGTACTTAACTTAAACATATACAGACATGTACACCAAAACTTTGTCCCAATTATACATTTCAAATGTTAATGATGAAAATTAAATATTAATAAAAATGTGTAAATGAAATCTGATTATAGAACTTGTCCTCTAAAAAAATATTCTTAAAAATTCCTATAATTTAACTATTAAGTAGATTTTCTAAAATTTTAAAATTTTTAAAATTTTATGCTATCGAGAGTAATTACAAGTTACCATGATTACAAAATAGAAAATTATTCTTATGTAGAATACATTACATAAAAATGGATGCAATCAGCTTGTAATCACTTTCTTTTAAAACCCAAAGTTATAAAATGTTGTACGTTAATCGATTACATTTGAAGGTAATTCACCAAATCCCTTATCCTGTTAGTTTATTTAACAAATGTTATTGTTTCAAGTTTAGATTAATGAAAAGCAAGTATTTTTACAAAGCTCTCCCTCTTTTATTTTTCTTAAAATTAGATTTTCTATATCGAGGACGTTAAATGATGAACAGGGTTTCGTTTAAGATCTTAGTGGCTGATCTAGCAGGAAGGTGGTAGACATCCAGCTCTATTGAACGCGGACAGTTGGCCTAACAGCTAAGTGCAAGCTTTAATATACAAGAATAATCACTGTTGCAAATTCTTTTTAACAAACTGAACTGAATTTGTCAATTTTAGAACACCTGCATATGTCACTTGCGGTTTTTCTTAATATTTTCACTATCTTGCCAATAATCGATACTTAAGATATCAAACAAATGACGACTGACACTTTATTTGAGACACATTGAATTTTTTTTGTTAAACTTTAACTTGTTTTATGCTGAAAATTATTATACCTAGTCAGCAAATACAATCTATCATTAAGTCAAATGCTGACTGACTTTTTTCATATTAATTGTTAGGCAATTATTTACACACTGAATTGTCGACGGATCTTTCCGTTATTTCCCGATCATGACAAGGATCACACGGCGGGTGTGACCGGTCGGCAGGGGATGCTCACTCCTCCATGGCACGTGATCCCACCTCTGATGTCTTATAGATCCGTGTTTGCTCTGCTCCTATTTTGTAATGTTTAATGGACTTTTGAGCTCGAATACTGTTCGTTATCTTCACATACATGTATTTCATTACTAGTATTTTAATCCGAAAACTCTATTCTAAAGTTTAAAGTAATTTAACTCTGGGCCGCGCACACTATCTGCGATCTTTAGAGACCTCAATTTTTTTTCTTCAAATTTATGAGTTCAAATAATTAAAATCAAACTATTCTGACCTGTATTTTCTTGACAAATATTATGGTATAAGTATATCTAGGACCATTTAGTTTGACAAAAAAGTCATTGTCCACGAACTTTATGAACATCCGTCGTACATGTACATGTATATATTCCATGTCATTTGAAACATTTAAACACATCCGAAAAAAATAAAAGCTTGTAACTTGTTGATATATATAGCCATCGTAGTGATTGTTATATACCTTCGAGGGTTGTTAGACACATTGATTTACAGAAAATTTATTGTGTACTTTGAAGAATGACGCATGTCTGATTGAATTCTTACCTTTTGATAATAAATATGTAAAAAAAAAAAAAATCATGTCAATGTACAAAAATTTTGAAAATGTACAATGATTTTCAATTTGCGGTCATAAGATTCAGGGAGTAATCACTTGACGTTTTTTGACGTTAGATGAGGTGACAACCTGATTTCAGCTTTCTAAAATTCAAAATATTTTTCAGTTATAGACTTTTCACGTCTTTTTCCTGCTAAAGAATTGAGTAACTATAGAAAGACATATTACTTTTTTCCTAAAATATGTCTTTTGTAGCGTATTGGATATTAGTGAGATCTGAAAAATCAATTTCTACGCAATTCACCAATCATGTGTCGAAACGGTGCAAAATTCATAGCTAGGTTCAAAGTCCTTGCGATAAGCGGAGTATTAGGGTATTGCAGAATCTGATCATCAAAAGTGTCTATCCTTCCATTCTAAGAAAGCTACTTCCATTCGGACACTGTTCGTTGATACGTGTAGGTAATCCTCAGCAGCACCTATAAACAATTTAGTCTCTTTTGTGCATGTTCCTGTCTCCAAACACAATTTTTTTAATCGCTCGGTGCTCCAAGATGTTTAATGACGTTGCAATTTTGGGCTTTGTTTTTAAGCATTAATCGGCTATGATTAGCGATAAAACAGTCATGACCCTTCCTATTAAATTGAAAATTTTGTCAAATGACGTTTCATAAATAATGTAGCGAAAGTTGAAATATTATGTATCTTCATGTGCTATAACAGTGAAATTATTAATTTCACAAAAATGTATATGCAATGTTAACTTGCGAAAAAGTGACATGCTCCGTGAAGCATGTTTTATCTAAATGATATACTGAATATTTTTTTTTTAAATCATCGTCGAACACCAAATCTTTGCATATTTATTCGATAGTACATATTGTTATTATTTCCAAAATTTTAGTGGATTCATGGAAATAGCGTGCTCACAATAGATGGAACTTGTCCGCGAACTTTTCTAACAACTCTAGTAGATACATGTATTAACAGTATTACAATCCAACAAAATCATGGCCGTAAAAGAATTAAATTATACTTATGTATATTAGAATGCTTTATGCAAATCAAATGCACTGAATTTTTGATAAAAGAAAAACAAGGCAAACAAACAATATGCGGATGTCCAAAACTTTATCAGTGATTCGAAATTCGTTAGTACAATGCTTAAAGTTTAAAGTTAATAGGGATTGCTATATGTTTTCGAGAAATGAAGATGAAGGTAAACATTTATTTTGATAAGCAGAATTCTCTGTAAATATTAATGCTGAAAGTTACAAAAAAAATGAACAAAATTTAATTTTTTTCCAGAACAAAGTAATTTTCACGTGATTTATTTTCAGTGTTATCCACCACATCAAACCTCTCTCTCTGTAATACAGAGTAGTTTCCAGTAATTTCTTCTCTATCTAGTTTTCCATAGTGATTCGGATCTGCATCTTGTTCATTTCCAGAAAAGTGAGCGTGGTCGTAATTTCCATTGTCGTTATTCACAGGAGACTCTTCATGCAAATGATTATAAACACCACATTTATTGGAATCCAAACTCGATTGGCCAATACCTCTTACTATTGGCATCACTTGCAAAATCCTCGATTTATGCTTAAATGTCAAGTTGGAGATGTTAAAACTCTATGGTTGTACAAATCAGTATGTATACAAATTTTGTTTATTTATAACCTTTTACATACTTAAGACACAATATTTCTTAGATAAAACTGACATTTCGAATATTGCTTCAAACTAGAAAACTATCTACCACTTCAAATCGGAAAATTACGATTAATTCACACGAGTTAAAATTTCAATGATCCTCCATTACCACTATTTACTTACGTTTTCGTCGCTTATTTCATTGTAGATATCAGTCTTTTGAACATTCTGCCTCGTTGATACAGGTTGATTCTGAACAGAATCCATTTCATACATGACCTGAGACACAGCTGTTATGTTTTCCCTTTGAATGAAAATGATTTAATGAAGCAAAGATACATTAAATTTGGGAAATTGATTTAAAAAGACGACGCAATTTGAATTCTACAATATGAAATATGCTTTACTTTTTAGCCCTCCAATGCATTCTGTGTTGGACCACACAGACAGCGGAAGTGACTATTATACCAAAGATTAGACCAGCAAACGCAGCTCCAACAGAAGACCCATACGAGGCTTCTAAACGTATTGTATAGAAATATCTCATGTAGCAGTTTGATATACAATATTATATACCATACTATCGTAATTATAATTCTTTTCATTGAATGAATGACAGCAACTCTCTGATAAACTGAATGACAGTCAGAGAAAGTATAAGTCCACCAATATTATCATTAATATCTTAATCAAATTTCTTTTCCCATGTTACATGTATTATTTTTGTGAGTACAATTGTAATGTTTCCTATCTGAATAAAATTACTTTTCACATATAAAAAGCAATCCTCATATGTACGTTTTATTTGCTGTTTCTGCAAATATATTTTTCTCACTGCAACCCTTAGTACACAGTTTGCAAAACCTGAATCATATTTCGAAGATATCTTGCAATCAGCTTTTATGGGTAAAAAGGGTTCCTGCATCTAATCGACTCTCTCTCTCTCTCTCTTCTTTATCCTCACTTCACAATGTCCAGGTCTGATCATTTGTTATATATTGAGATAAAACACACATGCAATGCAAGTTTAGATAGAAAGGTCTTTAAATCAAAATTTAAGAGCTTATCTTTCGAAATTGGTATTGATGACGTTGTCGTATCTAAATAGTTACTAGTAAGTTAGTTCATAAAATATCTATTAATTTTATGTTTTCCTAAGTAATTACAGAGTATTAAGTTATAATTTTATGTTCTCTTATTTGTGATCATAGCATATCTGATGCATGTTCAAATTTTTCATAAATTCTTGAGTATAAAGGACAAAAAAAGATGGAGAGAGAGTTAAAGAAATTAAAACAGACCATCCCCAATTTATGCTTACCCATTCACCTATAATACAACAATAAAATACATTCCAATTCTGTGTAAAATACTTAGGGTCAGACGTTCCTCAATAATATTTTTCTCAAGAATTTGTCACTGAAGTTTTACTACTTTAACAAGTTTTCTCACCAGAAATTGAGGTACCTTACCAGACATTTGTGCAAAATACCAGAGGATTGTGTTTCCTATGCATGCATAACTCTTTTGGAAATCACTGGAATTGTCATTATCACAATTTTTTGAGTATTTATTTTTTAAAAAACATTTTGAAAACAGTTTAGAAATCACAAGATAATGATAATTATATTAATATAATATTATATATTAAAAAAGATAATCAAGGAACGTGTCGTCAGACCTAAATAAAATAAATTTGAAAATGTTCACCCAAATATTCACTCAAGATGTATAAGAAATGTCAGCATTCAGATCAGCATACCCGATAGTCAGTCAATGCTGATTCTTTTCAAATATTACGTCTTAATACCATTCTGACAAAATATGACAGGAACACTTTTTCTTTACTCAGAAATAGATAAATTTGAACTCGACGTAAAGTTAGAAATAAATTAAAGATTCACAAATTAAGAAATGCACTTTGCACAATTTCATTTCTATTACGTTTTCTCTTGTCGGCTATTTTAGATACCGTGTCAATTTAGAACAGTCGCCCGCGTGGCGCAGTGGTTAGAGCGTCTGCTCTAGAGTCGTGAAGTAAGGAGTTGATCCTTACGTCGCGGGTTCGAATCCCACTGTGGGACGTGGAGACCGGTCCTTCGGATGAGACTGTATAAACCGAGGTCCCGTGTCGCAGTAGGTGCTGGCACGAAAAAGATCCCTCACTGCTATGGCCGTAAGTGCCGAGTATAGGACAAAATTTGCAGCTCTCCACCGGCAAGTGGTGGCGTCTCCATATGAGTGAAAAATTCTCGAGAGGGACGTTAAACAACATACAATCAATCAATCAATCAATTTAGAACAACTAGATATAATTCACAATGGAAAATTACATTATTTGTGGTAAATTATTTGAATACCTGATAATTACTACTTTATTCATGTTAAATTTTTCAGTTCCTCCAACAAGAGCATAAATTGCCAGAAATATGAATTATTTGATAATACAAGTAATATGGAAATTTTATAGTAAAACTAGCAAAAATTGATAATGGCATTTTTTTTTCATATTCCTGTTTCACAAACAATGTCTACTCAATGTTGTATGAATTTTAGGATCTTGGTAATTTATCAAATGATAAGGTGATAAGGTATAAATAAAGAGAGACATATTTTTTTCTACAAAATATCTGTTAACTATATTGTTATTGCATCAAATAATGAATGTCTCTATATGAGTGAAAAATTCTCGAACGGAACGTTAAACAGCATACAATCAATCAGAGAAAGACGAAGTACATGTCCCAAGTAGTAAATACGGTTCTAGAAAAACACCTACCTATCGACTTAGCATATCCACAGTGAGTCGATATTGTCAAATCGGGCGTAGTAAATTGCACTGCAGTTGAAGACAATGTCGTGTTAGCTTGTGGAGATGCTGATGATATTGTCAAATCAGGTGAGGTATGAAGGGTTGCTGATGAAGATATTGTCATGTAAAGCGTAGTGTTTTGGACATCAGAAGACGTCCTATATGGCGCTGTGTGTACAGAAATGGGAAATACTGTCAAATCAGACGTAGGCTGCAGATTTGCAGATGGAGAAAGCATCATATCAGGGTTAATTTGCGAGGTTTCAAAGGAAGAAATTGTTGTATGAAATGTCATATGCAGGACTTCCGATGAATAAACTGTTGTCGTTCTTAGAGTCTCAAATGAATTTGTGGCATATTCATCTGAAAGTGGAATTTCATTAGTTTTTCTTGTTCTACAACTTTTTTTTCTTACGTTTGTTTCCATTTTTTTCCATTAACGATCTTATTATTGTTGTTATTTTTATTAGAATTATCTATCTGTTTATTATTTGGGGGATGATGAGAGATTATCTAATAGAAAAAACCACCAATTTAACTCTTCTTGAAGGTATATAGTATGAACAAACAATATGGGGTTCTAAAAATAAAAACAATATCATTTCTACGGAACGTTATAGAATATGTTTTGTTTGTTTTTTCTGATAAAAAATAATTTCCGCTATGTATTGTTACCAGCAGGCCACAACAGTAATGAAACATTGCATGTTATTCTAAGAATGGTTTGCAAAGAATTTCCAGCGTCTCCAATAATAGCTTTGCTATTTTTGGTTGTGATATTAAGGACTAGATGTTCTTTTTCGGTGCCCTTTGAACAGTTCACGGGATTGACAATGCTGCACACATCGCTGCATTTTTTCCCAAAAAGATCTACAAAAATGTTTAGTTTTTATTTTTTTATTTTTTATTTTGGATATTTTCTGGAAACCTATATAAATATGAGGAAATGAAACGTGAATTTCATTACACAATGTGTGATAATATTATCATGATACAATTTGTTCCTTTTTTCTCATTGGGTGGAAATTTACCAAGACACTGCGAATATATTTCAAAGTAAATCCATATTACTTACCTATTTTGGAATGGTTTAACTGACCACACTTGCTGGCATTATTATAAGTGGTGTACAAATTGAACGCTTCTTCCAAGCAAAAATGCCTAGCGAAAAAAGATTACTGTTACTTTAGGTTTTTTTTAATCAAATTTTATTAAGAAGCTAGGCCTTAAAAGACAAAGAACAGAATAAAGTTCCAGAACAAAAATGACTTTATATTTTTGAAATAGCATTCTTTAGAATATCCATATGCTGTTGAAAGTATGCTCCTCACAATATGTACCACCATAGACGTCACCTTTTATAATATTGAAATAGGACACAACTACTTATTTCTGTAGCGCTTTTTAAAACAATAGGCCCGAGGGCCTTAACAGTCACTTGAGTATAATACAACAATTTTGAAGTTCCATAGAGTATAAAAAAAAAATGATAGATAAAGATTTGTTGCTCAGTAGCAAAAGAAATATTACTATCAGGATCAATGAAATAATTAGTCTAGTATTTCGTAACAACTCATAAATTAAGTTCTTATCTGTCCCTCATTTATCACTTTCACCATGCAGACTATTAACAAACTATAAGTGATTCTGTACTATTTTAACCCCACACATTGTAACTTCTCACATTGGCCTTTATTGGTCGTTGAAGAACATTTAATAAGATAAGTTATTTTTGTCTCATTTTTATTCATCTATTATTTACAAGTCTATCTGATCATTAAAACTATGAAAGTACTTTTTTACTATACAACAAAATTTCTTGCATAATTCTCTTATTCCATTAATTTTTCAAATACATTATTTACACCGATTAATTATCAAAAGTGAATGGCAAAGGGGGATAACTTCCCTCAGAAGAATACAAATCAATAGAGCCTGGTCAGGATCCCAACACTTGACCAAATGGTCCGTATGTTAAAAAATCTGGTAAAAATATCCATTCTTATGAAAACTTTTACACTGTTTCCCTTCGATATGCCAAGGAGCAGAGAAGAGTTTCAAAGAAATAATGCATTTTCACTAAAGTTTCAACACAGCACTACCCTAACACCAAATCCCATGACCCAGGGTAATGAATTTCACTAATTTGGAAGAGGTACCCTCATCATCATAACTATGCACTTAGTTGAAGATTTTCAAAGAATTAACACATTTTCACTATATTATCAATAGGCCGCCCAACCCCAACTCCCCCTAAACACCCACCAAAACCTCTGACCCTGGGACCACAAGTTTTAAAATTTTGTAAGAAGCACCCTTGTTCATCATAACTATGAACTTTATTTATCTGTTAAACACTTAGGAGCAGACAGGATTATTTAACAGAATTAATGCATTTTCACTATATTATCAATAGAGCCCTCCCTCTCCTTTCACCAGAACCCCTAAGCCTGGGACCATGATTTTCACAATTTTTGAAAGAGGCATCCTTACTTATCATAACCATGCACTTAGTTTATTTAAGTAAAACCCAGGAGCAGAGGAGAACATTTTCAAAGAATGAATGCATTTTCACTATATAATCAATAGAGCCCCGTCCATACCTAGAACCCCTGACCCAGGGGCCATGATATTCACAATTTTGGTACAGGCACACTTCTTCATCATAACTATGTACTTAATTTATCGGCTTAATACCCAGGAACAGAGGAGAAGATTTTTAAAGTTTTAATGCATTTTCAATATATAATCATTAGAACCCCACCCTAAGTCAAGAATCCCTGACCCAGGGGCTATGAAACTCACAATTCTGGAAGAAGCACTCTTGCTTATTCTTACTGTACACGTATTGTTTCTTTGCTTTTTAACCAGGAGCAGAAAAGAATATTTTCAAAGAAATTATGTTTTTCAGTATTTGATCAATAGACCCCCACCTCATTCACCAGAACTTAAAACCCCGGGGCCACAAATTTCATAATTACGGAAAAAGCATCCTTGCTGACCATAACGTACCCTGCACTTAGTTTGTTTAAATAAAACCCAGGAGCAGAGTAGAAGATTTTCCAAAGAATTAACGCACTTTCACTTTATAATCAATAGAGGCCCAGCTCTAACACTAGAATTCCTGACCCAGCTAGGGCCATGAAATTCACAATTTTGGAAGAGGCACCCTTCCTCATCATATAACTATGTGCTTAAGTTATCGGCGTAATACCCAGGAGCAGATAAGAAGATTTTCAAAGAATTAATGCATTTTCACTATATAATCATTAGAGCCCTACCCTAACACCAGAACCCCTAGCCCAGGGGCCACGAAATTCACACTTTTGGAAGAAGCACCCTTCCTCATCATAACTTTGTATTTGTTTAAAACCCAGGAGAAGAAAAGAAAATTTTCAATGAAATATTGCACTTTCACTATATGATCTATATAGCCCAGCCCTAGCACCAAAACCCCTGATCCTGGGGTCATGAATTTCACAATTTTGGTAGAAGGCTCAATGCTTATTACAATCATTCTAACAGTTTGACTGTTTGATTCCAGGTGTAAAGAAGAAGATTTTTAAAGATTGCATCAATCATAGTGGTTTTAGCCCCACCCCTCAGGCCCCAGGGGGACAGGGACCATGAAATTCATAATTTTTGTTCCCCTTTACCCATAGATGCTATATGCCCAAATTGTTGAAATTGATTTAGCGGTTCTAGAAAAGAAGTTGAAAAAGTTCAAATGTTAACGCACGACAGACAAAAACGTATAGCAATAGGTCACCTGAGTCACTCAGGTGACCTAAAATTTGTCGCATTTTTTTCGTTTGTTTGTTTGTTTTTAAATTAAGAAAATGGTGTTGGAATGCATGAAAATATACATGTTAAATTAAAATGAAATCATTATCACTCAGATGTTTCGCATAACGTACACTTTCTGTGCTTTAGACAAATCAAATTCTGTTAGGACGACTGCAGAAACTGTAAAAATAAGAATATAAACAAAGCTTACATTATAAAACACATGCACAAGTGTATATATTACATTGCTAGGAAATATAAAAAATAAGGTATGAATGTTAAAAATAACAAAGAATGTAAACTGATTTTAATTTTACTTCCTTATGTGGAAAGAGTGATTTGACACTACTTTTTTGACGTCGTGATTAAAAACATTTAAATGTGTTCGTCAAGAGCTACATGTACTTTTTTAACAAGTTGACCTGCTTGGAAAAAACAAAAGGCCCATGAGCCTTTATCATCTGAGTGAATAGTTCTAGATAGAATGAATAATTCTAAAAAAGTCTTGGAAGATAAAAAACACTTTTAAGTACAGTAATAGATGTAAAGGTTTCCACATTGCTCATCTTTTAATCAATGCCCAAAACAATTTTTCTCTTTTTCTCAAAAACATTTTTTTTATTTTTGCTAATTTGCAGCCCAAAGAGGAAGTTCATTCCCCACTGCTGAACCACTATTGAACGCTGCAACATTGTACCGTAAAATTGTGGCAACCTGAAGTTTGATGGACGGGGTATGGATGCCAAAGATTTAATTGACTACTCATTGATATGTTAGACATTTTGCTTGATACTATTTGATAAATAAGGCCACCATCGCTGCCTGTTGCAATCTCTCTGACCAGTATCGGTAACAATCAACCTTATTTAAGAGCACAAAAGATGCGCAGTCGGCTTCGGGAAATTTGTGAGCGCGCAAGAGGGCTATTTGAGGGTGTGTATTGAAATAAAGACATCTACAAATTCGACTACAATAGGCAACACGGAAATTTAGATTTACTCGTGTCGCTTAGGCAGATGTATTTGCAGATAAAATTTCTGAGTGGCGCATTGGCAATTTTATCTCTAGTATATATCAGGAATCTGAGATTTTGCCAGTTATGAACATTTTCAATGTCAGCGTTATGATTTGGCATAGACACATTTTTATAGACTGGGAACTTGATGCTCAATATTCTTTAAACATAATTCATGTGGTTAATGATTTTTTTTAAATGAATGATTTACTGCAGAAAGGGGATAAAAAGACATAGATAAAAGTTATGCCTTTTAAAACATAAACTTAATTTATATATAATACAAACTTATACTTACAAACTAATACAGTCCATACAGCTATGTAAAACGCCGATGCAATTTTAATATGCATCTTTTAAAACTTACTTCGTCTTGTGCAATTATTTACATGTGCATAGAACAGAAGAGGGATAATAACTATATGGTGTAATGGCCCACAGCATGGCTTAAAGTGCTCAATTATTTCCTTAAACATTTTCTTCCTTATAATCTTCCATTTACTTACAATCATTCATAAATAGTTCCTTAGATATGCAACGTGATGAACATTATCCATAAACGAATAATTTTTTTGTTGGTTTTTTAAGTGAAATACAAACAGAAAAAATGGTGAATCCTTTCACGTGAAGTTCATGTGAGGCACATTTGACTTTGTATTTGTAAATAAATAACAATAAATGTGCAGCGAATAGCGGAAGTGCAACACACACACACACATACACACACCCTCCCTCACACCCTCACACACACACACACACACACCCTCACATACACACACACACACACCCTTACACACACACACATACACACACACACACACACCCTCACACACACACACACACACACACATATATATATATATATATATATATATATATATATATATATATATATATATATATATATATATATATATATATATATATATATATATATATATATATATATATGAGGGATGGCAATCGAATACAGAATTGCTAATCGGTTAACCGCAAAACGTTCCGACCGATGAACCGGTTTATCGTATCAAACTACACATTTTCTTGACTTTTTTCAAGTAGCGCTATTCCTATGCACAAGAAGTCTTTAAAAAAGATGTTAGAGGTCAAAATCATTCTATTTGTCTGTATTCTTGGTCAGAAAACTACGTGCATAAATATTTTATTTCTAAAAACAAGAAAAAATTCAGAAAACCATGAAACATGCCTGATGAGATATCGTGTATAATTTTTCAGAGCGGATATCACACAAGTTCGTGGTCTCAACCTTTGTAAATATTTCATTTTTTCTACATATACATATATATTATATATGTATACATGCAGTTCACTTTCGTATGTGTACGAGTTTCATTTCATGTAGTTATGTTATAGATACGATATTCTTTTTGTGTATTTTGTACAGTGTTCATTAATCACTGCAAAGTGGAAATAAAGTATGAATGAATAATTCAATTTGATAGATAACTGCAAAAGATACGCACACCTACTCACGGTGCTCAACGGTGATTATTATCATTAAAGAATTACAGGACAGTCGGGGTAACGACATGATGTTTTAACAGTAATTAACACATCTCAGACTGACCAATTACCCCACAATTTTAATATGGAGAGCCATAATTACCTCCCAATCAGCCTAAATAAATATATGAAAAAGCTAAATTATCAACGTTTTAGTAGGAATTTCTTTCTTTTTTAAAAAAAAAAAAAAAATATTTTTAGAAGATTTCCTTCAATTTTACATATATATTAATTTTTTTCGACTAACCGATTACAGATTTTCTAACCGATTACCATCGTTCAGACCGAGTAATCGGTTAACCGGTTAGAAATTGCCATTCCTAATATATATATATATATATATATATATATATATATATATATATATATATATATATATATATATATATATATATATATATATATATATATATATATATATATATATATATATATATATATATATATATATATATATATATATATATCTAGCTTAGTACTGGATGTGGTTAACTAGTCATATATTCAGTGAACTAGAGCATTACTTTAATATAAGATGAGAATACATGCCATTTTTCAATCACTTTTTTTTTCTACATGCATTTTGTGAACCCTTCATCCAAGGATGCTTTGATACAAGTTTGGTTGAAATTTGCCCAGTGCTTTTAGAGAAGAAGTCGATCAGGGTTCTCACTAGGATTTTGCTAACTTGAGTCCCAGGACTCAAGTTTTCTGAGAAGGTTGCGTCCCAGCTAAATTTGATGCGTCCCAGAAAAATTATGTTGAGTCCCAACTAAAATATTGCAGTATTCTTCCATCCAAACATCAATAAAAATCTTTATCATTTTATCAGTTTGTTTACGCAATATTAACATATTCAAGTATATAAACCGGTAATGCATTCAAGCCATATTCTAAAATACACGCGTAATCAATTGCCATAAAAATAACTTGGTGTTTATAAAGCTAAAATTAACTGTTGCATAATCAACTAGTACCCAAAAGTTGACTGTGTACAATCACAGGTGTCATGTGCAATGAGGCGTAACTAATCCTGTCGGTCGTCTGCACTGGGTGAAATTCACGAGATAAGCAAGCCCCATTGTGTATACAAGCAGTAATTATGGTTTCTGCATGTAGATAACACTCAAGATTCAAAAGTGTTTTTTTTTTAAAGTTTGGCATGCGACACTATTATGACTGGACTAATAAACATGAAATATCTTATGATCAATCCCTGTTTAAAAAAAGTGAAATAAGTACAAGAAAAGTTGTTTCTTGGATAAACTTTATGATAGTTACATGAAGGTTTCGATTAAATATTTCTTTGACAAATCCTAACATCTAAATTCCCCGTTTTCGAAATCTCCCGAATTTTCTCGCTAACGAGGACGCGTCCGATCACGAGTCCGCGGACGCATCGTTTTTAAGAACCTTGCGTCCCAAGGAATTTTGCTGCGTCTAGGACGCAGATTCTTGCGTTAATGAGAACCCTGTCGATAATGTGACAAATTTACAGACTGACAGATGCCGTAAAAATGTGATCCGAAACCTCAGTACGTTGAGCATAAAATGAATATATTTGAATTTAAAAGATCTATCTTATCTGCTTTATTGAAAATCCCAATTCATCTAAACAATTCAAATGCTTCAGGTGTTTCTAAGTTATACATATACTAGGTATGAATTATTTCTCTGTTTGATATTTTGTTCAGCTCGGTTTTAATATTCCAAATTCCACATTCATTCAAAAGTTAATGTCAATTTATGGTCCATAGTTATTATGGCGGTGTATAAGTAATGCTGGAGTATGAATTCCATGATTCAACCCTTACTTTATAATTTTTATTGATTATAGGACAGTTGAATAAAGATAAATTCGTTGCTTTTCTACTTTAAAACGTGTGTTTAATTAAGATATATTCTGGACAAACACCAAGCATGCAGATTTATCCACGTCAGTGCGTCCATAATAAAAATAAAGTGTCAACCATCTTAAGCGTTTTCACTTGCATTCAACATCAGTAGGACATGACCGGAGTTAAGTTTGGCTTGTTTGACAAGTCAATTATTTCTTGAGAGACTTTAAATATATTTCGGTAAGATCATTCTCTTTACTTCATGTAAATAATGGTTGATACTTCATAAGAATGACAAGTTCAATGCCTTATTTCTTCTTTTTTAACGCTATACGGGAAAAGTGGCCTGCAAGATTTTCATGCGTTTTTGTTTTGCATGAAATATATGCGAAAAGTCATACAAAAATCGTGCAAAAGTACCACATGCGGATTACAAAATTTTGATGTGAAATTCATGAGATTTTCATATGGCCATGAGTTCGAACGGTACATGCAAAGTCAATGATACCCGTTATGCAACTTATCCCACGTTTCCAACTTTCGGTGATGCTCAGACATACCCAGCAAACTAGGAAGTAATTCTTTAAACAATCGCATATCTTTTGAAGTTTCAATAGGTTGGAAGAGTTGCTTTCGCTTTATATGCAAGATATTTTAAAATTTATGATAAATCGGTAAAAAGAATTAAACTGAAAAACCACTTGATAGTTTTTATAAAAAAAAAAAGAAATAATTTAACGCTCCATGGGAGGACAGAATCAAAAACCCCTCGAGTCCTCAGTGTCTTTGACTGGTAAAACATTCTACTGAGCTATCATTCTTACACAATCAAGGGGGGAGGGGGGGGGGGGTAAAACGACAAAGAAGCACAATTTTTTCTAGAATTTTGCTCGCTTCTTCTAAACTGTGAACTTCATGGTCCCATGGTCAGGGATTCTGGTGTTAGCTTGGAACTCATTGGTCACTTAGTAAAAATGCATTATTTCTTTAAAAATCTTCTCGATTCCTGTGGCTTTCAACATAAAGCTTGCTAAGTTTTTGACTTTAATAGGGTCATAAGTATGACTTAGGCACAATCATAGAACTGCTTAATATGTATGTATTTTGCCGTAACATAAAACGAAGTAAGCGAGGTCTTAGCTAAGCCAATATGTTCACAATATTTCTTATGAATCACCCTTAGGCTAGTTTTTCTAATTTACAAAGCCTCTTTATTATCTTTCTAAGTCATCTTCTTTTAACTCACCGACAATTTCTCTGTCTCTTAAAATCTATGCCACCTCACATTTTCAATGTGAAAATTCAATTCCATGATTCCTTTGTACTTTTTACTTATAGAGAGTAGTGTTTATAAGCTAGGTCCTTCTAATATTCCAAAAGTATTCAAAAATAAAACTTTTCATATACATATATTCCATGTTGCAAGTGATATCAGAATCAGTGATCAATAAATCTGTTTACACCTCCTCCTGCAAAAACTAAAATTCATTTTCCATTACATTTATGTAGATACAATTATTTTTCTTTAATGCATATTATGAATAGAGGAATATTGTAACGTCGAGATTCAACATTTAATATATAGTTCTAAATATGTGTAAGCATGATCTTAAACTTGAGTATCCTTTATGTTTTTACACTCTGGCCTCGGCATCACGAAACATCTTTAGCTTAAGTCAAAATATTTATGTTCTATTTAATTTTTGAAAAAGTTAAGCAGGGCAAACTTAAAATATTTTTTTAATATTGCTTTACAAAGGCGTTGTTATCTGCAAATTTAGAGATTAATTCAATAATTGATAAACATTTTACAGGTGAATAAATATTTGACTTAAGTTTAAGTTTGTTTCATGATTCTGGGGCCTGGCAGGACATTAAGCATCTATGGACATGGTTATTATAAGCAAAAATGTGATATCCATGGCCACATGGGCAGAAGTTTTGGTGAGTTTGGACTCTATTGATCATGTACAAAGCAATATTTCTTTTAA